ACCGAGAAACCGGATATACATATGAAATATACATATTTTATATGCTTATATATATACGATTTGGTTCCGGTTCTTGGTATGTAATATTCGGTTCCTCATTTTTGCAATTCGGTTCTCGGTTTTTATGATACTTTTCGTTCATGAGTTGCAATTTTTTGATCGGTTCTTAATTTAAAACCAATTATTTGGCGGTTACTTTTCATTATTCGATTACCCGAATAACCAAAAAAACCGAGCAGTTATAACTCGGTTCGGTTCTTTTTCGGTTCCTGCGAATATTTAGGTGTTAACCGAATCGATTTTTTATTTCGATTCCGATTCCGGTTCTTGAAAAATATGTTAAGAACCGGTCAGGTCCCAGGCCTAATGTGAAAAACAAGATTCTGAGTTGGAAAAATAAGTATTTGAGTGAATCAGTGAGAGAAATTCTTATTAAATCAGTGTTTAGTGCATTACCTACCTATGTAATGTTTTGTTTTAAAATTCCCATCATTATTATCAATCAGATTTGTAGAGATATAGCTAATTTTCGGTGAGGAAAAATGAGAATGGAGGTAACATGATGCACAAGGCAGAGTGGGGGAAGTTAATCGTGCCTAAAGAAGAGGGGGTTTGGTGTTTAGAGATCTTAGATAGTTCAATGAATCTATACTTGTCAAACAACTGTGGAGGATTCAAACTAAGTGTTAAAAGGCAAGTACTTCTAGAAGAATTTAATGAAAATTAAAGCCAAGAATGGAGATTCTTGGCTTCGGAAAAGCTGGTTGGGTGCTTGGAGTTCTTTCAGCTTGGGTGCTAGGTTTGAAGTGGGTAATGAGAAATCTATCAATGTTTGGGATTCTCCTTGGATCCCAAACAACTCTTCCTTTAAACCTAAGTGTTGTTCTTGGGAGATAAGAGTAAGATTGATAAAGTTAGCGATCTGATCAAGTCTGATTAAGAGTGGGGTGAGAGAGTGGGATATTGAGTTGATCCACCAATCTTTTGATCCTGTAAATGCAACCACAACCTTAAAAATCCCTCTGTCCAATCAAAAAAAGAATGATAGGTTAATTTGGCATTGTGGCAAAAAAGGAGCATTCACAACAAAGACAGTGTAACAATCCATTTTAGAAGCTAAATGCAAGGATTGCCTGCAAGCTTCTACAAATGAGACTACAGGTTGGTAGAGGAAAATGTGGAAATCTTGCTGGCAGTTAAATATGAAGCTTAAAATCAAATTCTTTATCTGGAGATGTTGGTTTGGGTTCATAGGGGTTAATGGGAATCTGGTCAAAAAGAGATTAGAGGTGGATTCAGTATGTAAGGTGTGTGAAGAGGGTATTGAGGATTTAAATCACTTGTTGTTTGCATGCTCAAAAGCCAAAACATATTGGAAGCTGAGTGGGGTTCATTGGGACTTAATGCAGCATAATGCTCAAATGGTTATGTGGATGTGGATGTCAAGACAAAATCTTGTGGGAATATCTAGGAGCAACACCCAGAAAGGTTTATTGTAGATTGCAAAAAACATAAAGTCTGTAAACTAAAACAATCCATTTGTGGACTGAAGTAGGTTTTATTTACTGGTACATTCAATTGATGAATCAAGTATGTGGATTTGAATAGTCACCAAATGAGTATGCATAAAAAAAAGGGTGGTATTTTTGTAGTCTGCGTAGACGGTATCCTGATCATTAAAAATAGTGTAAGATACTGTTAGGCGCAAGGGTACATTTATCCTAGTAATTAGATGTGAAGGACTCGGGAGAACCAACACATGTTCTTGAAATCAAGGATCACAAGAAAGAACTATTGCGATTATCCCGAACTTTGTGTCTATGGACTGTCATAAGGGTCATTCTTAGCATGCATGACATATAAGCAGTTTCTTATGTTTAGCAATAGGAAGCCTGTTGTATGCAATGCAGTAAATGAGGCCTGATATCTATTATTTCCAAGGGCATATTTAGTAGATATCGAAGTGATCCTTGATAGTTGTATTGATTTATGGTAAAGCATATTGTCAAGTATACCGTAACTGGACTAAAGATGATATATTGGCTTACCATGCGAGCCATATACAACCTATGGATTACAAAGATACTAATTTCTAATCGGAATTGAAAAAAAAAAAAGAAAGTAAAATTTACATCGGGATTTGTATTCACTTGTGACGTGGAGTCAATAGTATGGAGGAATGGCAAACGGTTATTCGTTGATAGGCTCCACCATGTAAACTCGTTTCGTTGTCGGTTGAATAGCAAGCGATGGGAGAGATTTTCATTCGGTAACCTCCAATGAAGTGAAATGTGAAATGCTTGTTTGCACATGTCGAGTCACAACTTGATTGTGATGATAGTTGGTGCAGTTGCAAACGGTAAGGAATCACAATTCCAGAAAGCTAGTGAGTGCATAGAGCAAGTTCGACCAAAAGTTGTAAAGAATAGTTAATATATTTCAATTTTGTTATCTAGCCATTAGTAAAATTATTTAATGATTTGATCATTATCTTTTAAATGGTAAATTATTTTAATTTTAAAAATATTATTCTTTATATAATTACATAAAGGTTAAATAATATTATCGACAAATATTAATTCACAAACTTCATTTCGCCTAGTTAGGTAGAGGGGAAAAATTATTTAACCTCGTACAATTGTTTATAAGTATTTTAGGATGAAAGTCAATATTTGAGAAAATAAAATAATATGGTTAAAGCTTAAAATTTATTTTCATGTTTATGTTGACCAGAATATCATCAACATGAATCACGTAAAATCAAATCGTAGTTTATTTTAATGGATATCAATAAAATTATTGTATATAATAATAAAATTATTCAATGAAGGAGTCTATTTTTTCATATTTGATTTGAAAACGTTTATATGAAAGTAATTAATTTTTATACTAAAAAATTCTTTATATATATATATAGATTTTAGTAGAAGAGATTTAAGTAGAATATAATGAACTTAGTCGTGCAATAGAAAAAAAAAATAGAAAATGGAAATGAGTTTTAATGGGAAAAAATCATTAGTTTATTTTATATTTTAGCATGGAAAGATTCCTACTTCCACCAAAATTTTGGGAAATCACTTTTTCTCTGCCCTCAATCTGATTTGTGAAACTCATTAAACGGCAAACTAATAAATTATATATTTAATTGGACGACTGGCTTCATGGATTCTCCTCCCACCTCCAGGTTGGGCGAGTGACTACATCATGATCTAATCGGAGTCCTTTATCTCCACCGAACTTAAATTAGGCATAATTTAGACTTTTGGCCTCCTTTTTTTCGTACCCAAAAAAATTATAAAAAAAAAAAAAAAAAATTGTAAAGCAACCACAAAAATATGTAAAATAATTATATCCAGCTTTTAGTAACAACTGGCGACAGCAGCAAAAAATATTCAAAATATCGCATCACGGTATAACGCTTTTACACATTTTACGCGTTTCACAAAACCCACACGCACACTCATTTTCAATTAACACTAAACACGCACACAGACAGCACATATTTGTGCGTGTTTATATTTAATCGCACTCCATTATCATCTCTGTTCTCAACCCTGTTTTCTTCTTTATGCTCTGTGTTTGCTAAACTCGTTTTGGACATCAATGGGCGACAAACGGGTTTACCCCGCCACAGTCGACGCCGATCCGCTGCCTCTTTCATCAGCATCAGCCACACCATCACCCAGTTTCTCCAGCGAGCAGCCCAAGCCGCCGAACCCGCCCCCATCGCACCCCGTCCCCCCACCGGCCACCTACGTCGTCCAATTCCCCAGGGAACAAATACTCCGGTACCCCTCGCCGGAGAACGCCAGGAAATTTCAAATCCTCGCGCGCCGCCGAAACCGCCGGAGCTTCTGCCGCCGCTGCTGCTGCTTCTCCCTCTGCCTCCTCCTGCTTCTCGCCGTCGCCGCCGCGATCTCGGCCGGATCTCTCTACCTCGTCCTCCGATTCAGATCCCCAAGGTACACGGTGACGGGCCTCGCGGCCAGGGGGTTGAACGTGACGTCCGCGGCGTCGATATCGCCGGGATTCGACGTCGCCATCGGGGCTGAGAACCCTAACGGCAGGGTCGGGATCTACTACCTGAGGGGAAGCTCCGTCAACGTACTGTTTGACGGCGTGAGGCTGGGCGGCGGCGCCCTGCCGGTCTTCTTCCAGCCGCGGAGGAACGTGACGGCGCTGCGGGCGACGGTAACGGGATCCCGCATCGTTTTGGGTGGCGACGTTAGGACGGCGTTACGGGACGGGCGGAACAGACGGCGGATTCCGTTTGTGGTGAGAGTAAAGGCCCCCATTAAATTTAAGGTGGGGACCGTGAGGACCTGGGAAATCACCGTTAAGGCCAAATGCGACGTCGTCTTGGACTCACTTGATGAGAGGGCACGTATTGTGTCTAGGGATTGTGATTATAGAGTGAAATTGTGGTAGTTAATTCCTGAGAATGTGATTATAGAGTGTATTTGTGTAGTCAATTCCTTTTTCTTTTATTATTATTATTAATTTATATTTTTGGTCTTTTATTGCGACATATTAGAGGAAAATGCTAACGTCCTATTACGATATCATTCTGTTGTGATTTGTAACCGATAGATCATCATATAACTGTCAATTATATAACTGTCGGAGATAGTTGATTCAACGGTTATAAATCCCGACAGAATTTGACTGTAGAATCTCCCATATTAGAGCCCACAATAAAATTGAATTTAGAAGTTCATGTACAGAAATGTTAAAAACACATTCTGCAGCTTTTTACACAAAGCCATGTTCATAACAAAGCTCAGTATATATATAAACCAACACCTACAGCAGTGTCCTCTCTATCTCAAGCATATACTCGGATCCAATAATCGACCCGCCTTTTATTGAACCCCATGTACAAAAAAAAAAATACGCCCCATGATTCTACTGTTCTCCGTATACCTATACATATAAATTTTTCTTTATTTCTCACCAACCAATTTAATCCCCCTCCCCCCAAAACCGTCGATAAATTCAACTTAAACCCCCTGTTGTGACTTGTATTGTTCGTAGTTACTCTTGGCCTGCTTGATCGCCTCCTGCAGGTCCTCAAACATCTTAACCGACGTGCCCGCAAAATCGTTCAGCTGCCCGAGGAAACGGGTCAGGCCCGTCTGAAACCGGTCCATAACCGGCACCCAATCCTCCGAACTAACTTCCTCCCTCAGCATGCTCACACCTTCATCCCCCAACGACATTCTATCAGAACCTTTCCCCTGATTCTGATTCTGATTCTTCTCCTGACGAGGCAGAAAGCGGGACACCTCGTGGGCCAGGTCTTTGACCGAGTCAACCACCCCTTTTGCCGGCAGCTTGTCCATCGCCTCAAGCCAGGCCCCACATATGGTGTAGATTGGCGGGCCCAGGTTTCTCAAAGGCGGCGGTTTCATCCGCTTGTTGCGTTTAGAGGTGGTCTGGGGTAGAGAGACACATTTGAACAGCCACTTCTCAATGGACTCCACATACAGCTTCTGGGCCTCGATCCATTTCGAAAAGGCAGACGAGAAGGAATTCAGTGAGCTGCCGAGGAGGAACGTGAATTGCTTTCGGGAGTCCGATTGTACCACGGTGAGCCTGGGGCCCGCGGGTGAGTGGGATATGGAGATGATGTGGAATTGGAGTGTGTGGCATTCGAGCATCTGTTCCCACATCTTCCTTAATCTGTCAATTGGTAGTAACATAGGTAGTGAATGATGTGTGTCCATTTAATCAAAATAAGTGAAAAAAAAAATAAAATTGAGAGAAATAAAAGTGCAATACCCTTCGATTAACTCCTCAAGTTGTGGCTGAAGTTCTTTGTCTCGAATTTCTTCAATCTTTTTCGAGATGGAGTTTATTCTGTGGATAGCGACTCCGATTCTCGAGTGTAGGTCTTTGACCACAGCACGAGTCTTGTCGGTGTTCTCTCCTCTTGATTCTTGCTGTCTAAGCAGCTTGCACTTCTGATCAAAATGACTCCTAAGCACCTGTCCACACTGAAAATCCGAAGTACCACCATCATAAATGGGTAGCCGTAAATTATAGACACCAAATACTATGTGAATCCAAATCTAAACCAAACAACAACAACCTCGAAATAATTAACTAACTTCTTTTTTTTTTTTTTTCCTTTTCATACAGGTTATCAACCATATCATGTCATGTTCTCCCTTCAAAGAATATCTTTCTTCCCATTAAAACAATCTGGTAGATGGGAGTTTTTTTTTTTGGTTTGCAAAAGAAATGGAACCAGAATCATCTTTTCACAATTATTAAAGAACAGCGAGAAAAAAAAAGCACCAATATCAGAAGTAAATGCTCTAACAAACCCAGTTTTACATGCCAGACAAAGGCAAATCCATATGTACATATAATAGAAACGGCAAATAATTTGTACAAGTATTATTTTCCAGAACATCAATATAACAAACATATCCTAAAGAGATTCTCAGCATCGTTCTAGGTATGTGCGTAAAATAACTTAGTGACCGAACAAATGACCAAGACCAATATCGTTCTAGGTCGATGCAGAATCTAAGCGTACCTTAACTTCATCGTAAAGCTTCTTCTCCCATGCATATAGCCTATCTAAGGTTGATGCATGACTTCCCGAGACCATACATGAGTTGTCAAAAAGATTGTTCGCAAGATCATCGGCACCATTGGTGGAATTTGCGCTTAGAAGATTCCTAGATGAACCAGAGCGAAACGATGTCGTCCTATGCCAAGTTAAGTACTTGACAGAGTTCTGTGGCGGCTCTATAATGTCAACATTTTCAATTAGTAATTAGCATTTATGTAATGCAATAACTAATTTATTGGCACCATGAGACATTTTCAGTTAGTAATTCTCATTTATGTAATGCAATAACTAATTTAATGGCACCAAGAGCATATTTTCTTGCGTGAAAGGAAAAAAAAACTTTTTTATAACAATACTTTGAAATTTATATCCATCAAAAGAAATATAGCTATACATTTTTCAAATGACAATGTAGCTTAATAGAAACGGACGGGAAGTATTTAACAATTATTACAAGAACGAACTGATTTGTCAATGTGAAACAAATTTTCAGATTATCAACGAAATCGAACAAAGTCCAAAATGCACAAGTCACCTAACTTGATGCCTAAAATTTCGTTTGATGACAAAATCGTTCTTCGTAATAAAGGGAGTTTTTTTGCAAACACTCCCAAAATATCTTTGGTTCAACGATTTCTCCCTACGGACATCAATAACTGACAGTAGTAAACTTCTTATACTTATGTTCACAAGTCAAATGTCATTTTACATGTTGAAGTCTCTAGGTTTTGGAATTTACAGACATACTTCCCGATTATCAATCGCTCGAAATACAAACATACCTTGTTGAGCCTCGCTTGGGTCATCCCCGCAAGAGAAACAAGATTTTAGCAATGATGAGGTAACTGATCCACCTGACAAATGAAGAATTCTTCATTATATTTTCACCCCTTTAAAAATGAGAAAGACATCCTCATTTCATATAAAAGAGAAAATGAACTAAGAGAAGAAATCCCTGTAATTTCAAAAGGTCCCATGCATCTTCTATAATTTAGAAGACCACAATAATAAAAGATTATAACCCAAATTGCCTCCTCCTTGTCCCAAACTTTCTCATGCCAGACATATTATGCTACAACCAAATTCTCGAGTATGACTAAAAGAACTAAGGTCTCATATAATGCAACAGAAGAGTGTCATATCATCTCACTTACACATTGCATGACTAAGCACATGTAAGGACTTGTTAGTGATTTTATTCAGGGAGGAACTATCACACAAAGAGAGAGAGAGAGAGAGAGAGAGAGAGAGAGAGAGAGAGAGAGACCATACGTTCTCCACGAAAAACAGGACGAAAATGGAATTTATTCGCTTCCAGCATCCGATGAACCTCTTTCCCTGATTCAGACGCTTTAAAAAAAAGCTGCTCGATATCCTTGATGCTCAAAACAAAGTCCTTGGGCGCAACCTTCTCCTCCACCTGACTCTGCTCCATCTGCATCATCTTCACATCATTCAAATACGCAAACCTCGACGATGCAGCCCTCAGCGGTGACAAATCAGGAGAATTTTTTTTCACCCCATTTGCAGAATTTGGCTCCGGTTCTATATTCCCTGCCGACCTGGCCGGTGAATCCCCATCATCTTTTACTTCCTCACCACTCTCAAATCCTGAAAACTTGGTCTCCAAGGCACGACTTTCCAAAACCACGGTAGATGAATTGCCGTTGATGCCATTCTCCTTCTCCCGGTTCAAGTTTTTGAAACTCCGGACAAGCGTGGCTGATGAGGGCTCGTCAAATTCATCCTCCGAAGAGCTTGACGATAGCTTCTCGTTCATGCTATCCTCTAGTTCGGGAACCTCATCCTCCGTCTTATGATTCACTAGACCCTCTTGGGAAGAAAAATGATCGTCCACCGGCTGAAAAAGGCCGAAATAGTCCCACGGTGCAGTCTCATCTCGGACGGGTGTTCCAAAGGAAGACGGCTCAGGCGCACCGGCGGACCTCGGAGTTCCATACGGAGGAGTATTGGACGAGACCGATACCATGACAGGCTCGGGGGGCCTCTCCTCGACTTTTTTCGAGAACGGGCTCCGAAATCTCATGTGATGGGCGTGGTAGTTGCTCGAGGGAGGGGTCGAAAGGGCCGGGGGGGTATTAGGCACATTTGTTGGCTCAGCACTTTGGGAGAAGGACCGTGAGGATGAAGAAAGATGAGAGACAGACTTCTCGGTCAAGGCACGTGGACCCGGGGTGGGGCTCCTGGATGGGTAAGGGTGGGGCTCGGACTGAGCATCGGCCTCAACAAATTTTTTTAGCGCGGTCCCAATGTTTGTGAGCTCGTCTATGTAGGCAATGTGGGCTGCGGCCAGGGAACACCTGCCGTTGAGGGCTTGTTTGATGAATTTCTTCCTGGCACGGCATAGCTGCAGACCCTTATCGTCCTCCACTCTGGAATTTGAAGCCCCCATTTAAGTCACAGCATGTGCACTTTTTAGTTCTTTGGTTTGAGAAGTCCTGTAAGTGTGATTAAAATTAAGAGAGCTAATATACAGTAAATCTTATATTCCAAGTTATCAATGTAAAAAATGGATACGCAGATATAATTGAAAATGGAAATCATAATTGAGGATAAAAAGAATCTTTCTAAACCATCGTAGTAGCATTCAAACTAATACCACCTACCAAGTTATGTCATGAATACAATGTGACCAACTAACCGAATAAGCAAATTACTTCAGTTTTCATCTTCTTGTGACATCGACAAACACACTAGCTTTCAGCTATTAGGCTTAATCACTGTACTTGGTAAAGAGGAAGTCATGCTAAGGACATGAGAAAAGGAAGCAAGTAGTTCATGAGGGTAATCAGGTAGTAGGCACATCCCAACAATTCACAAAAGCAACCGAATAAATCAGAACATCATTTGGTGAAATGGGAGCGATAAAATCTTTCAGATACCGGAAACTACACGTCTGGTCCAACACTTCAAAGCCGCATGATTAACCGAAAAGCTTCTCGAAAATCCAAGAGAGAATTTCAATTAAAATTAGTGCAGTTCACGTAGTCAGATCATATATCAAACAAATCCCATAACTAGCCCATCAAGCATCAACAAGTGAGAGAAAAGAAAGGGCACAAAAAACCTTAATCTTTCAGAGATAAAGAAACATTATAAAACCCAAGAAATCAGAACCCAGAAACAATACAAAAATCCCAAATTGATTCAAGCCCAAAGCAACCCCAAATCAACAGGATAGCTCAAAATCATACAAGCCATCATCAACAAACCAATCTACAAAATCAAAAAGATTCCAACTTTAATCCATACAAGCCGATCGATAATCAAAAGCCCCATCCAAAACAACCCAAACCCAACATAAATAAAGCTCGGACCAATCAAGATTTTCCTTTTTTTTTTTCTAATTTACCTCGGACAAGGTTATCAGAAACTGAAGTGTCAACCGGCGGCGGACAAATTCCTTGATTTCAGTGCAGATTACGAAACGAGATTTCTACACACAGAGATAGAGAGAGAGAGAGTGAGAAACCGCAACGGGCGACTCTGTTCAGAATCGGAAAAGGGGATAGGGATGGGCTTTGTACCAAGTTTTCGCATGAAAATACAAGAGAGCTGCGTGGGAATGTGGACCACCGCTGACCTAGCATAAAGTGATAGAATTTGTTCTGTGAAAAAAAAAATATTGAAGTGTTCTTGCGATAGGTAAAGTAACTTTTTTTTTTTTTTTTTTTTAATTAACTGAGAAAAGTTTCGATCATGATCTGTCGCTTTTGTCTTGTTTTTTTGATTGATATTCACTTTTTCTTCCTGATCTTGAAAGGGAATAATAGGGATCGGGGAGAAATTTAATAATGGAGGAGAAAAGTTTAGAAGGCATCTGCTGGCACTGTTCTTCGCCTGTAAGTAAATGTGTAAATTAGTACGGGAGAAATCAAAGACGTTACGACGCTTGCGGCATGTTTGGATATCGGAACTGATTATCACTATTCATTAACACTAGTACGTTGGCTGTGCGAGGTACGGGACATAGATATTAAATGGGTTATTTTTCTAGACGTTTAAGTCTAAAAATTAGTAGTGCTATTGATGGGGTCCTCTCTTAGATCTGGATCGGACGGGTGGAAATGAGCTCCGATATGCTTGAACCGCCATGGATCTACCTGCAGAATTGAACGCCGGAAGGATTTCCGACGTAGAGCCTCCAATATTTAAGTCAGTATCAAGAAGATAATGGTTGTGCTATGTGAATAAAAGCAATATATAATGTATGGAGAATGTAAAATTTGGATTTGGTGATACGTTAGTCTTTATAGGGCAAATACTTGCCCGATATGTCCTGCTCGAGTGCCTGCGGTCAGTCTGCCTGGATATTTAGTACTTATCCATATCCTAATCACTTTTTAATCAGATCCTAGTTATCTTAAAATTCGTTCTTATTCTTTTGAGATTAATCATGATCCTTAATGTCCATTAGCTTTAGGTCTCGATCTTCACTAATTGTCTATCTCTAAGTTGCGAGACAGCTCAGTCTTTTTTACGATAGAAAATGTCGACTTAAGCACACTTAAAGGGTCAAGTCGTTCAATGCTCTATCGTCTGTATTTAAGCTATTCGGTGGTTAGGTCGTCATTCCTTAGGTCGATATTTTTCAGGTCGTCATTGATGTTCTTAAGCAATATGTGGTCGTCTTCGAGCTGTTATAGCCACCTTGTGGTAGTCGTCATGCCTTTTAGGATTTTATCTCGAGTCGACTTGCCTGGGTCGACTTGTGACCCAGTCGAGCTCCTAACACTTGGTTCGGTCTACGCAAGTATGGTTATATTAATTATAGTATATTTTTCACCTCTTTTAGCTAACGTTATTTTTTTAGTCAGAACGTTAAATATGAGTATGTTAGGGCTAGCTTGTAAAATAATTAATATTATCTCACTAACATATTTATACTAATATAAATTTGATTTTAGTATATATATTTTTTCCTTGATATAAGAAAAAATAAAAATTTTACTTATTTTTATTCACCATATAATACTTAATCATTATTTTATTGTAAACTTTGTTGTCATATAATATCATTATTATTTATAAAAGTTATAGGAGTTTTACGTCTTCTTTTTCTTATTATTTTTGTAATGAAAATTATTTAATGCACGTTAGTATTATTTATTTATATAATCAATTTAAAATATGTAAATAAATTTAAAATTAAATAATGTATAAATATTTTACAAAATATACATACATGTTTTTTTAGAATATAATTTTTATACTAATTAAACAAATTTGATTTAGCAAATGCCAAAGACTCAATCCCTTCTACAATCAAGATTTTCTAATTTGCATTATAAGGATTATAGTTTATTTAGCATACTTTGCAATGAAAATATACTTTACAATAATTTTGACTATAAAAAGAAATAAAAAATGATAAAAAAAATAGTCATAGTTGCCATTAATAATAATGTGAGTCGTAAATTATGCGAAAAGAGTCGTATAGTCATAAAATATACGACACTCGATTTGAAACTTTCTCACACATGTTAAATTATGCAGTGTGTTTAAATATGCAATATAAAATATACGAAAGTGATAGTGAAATGGACTTCACTCGTGCTCCTTCAACTCGGAAGGCCTCCGTACCTGCAAGAACTCAACGGTGGGAGGGATCCCTACGTCTAGCCTCCGATGCCTAAGTCAACACTTGTCAGATATAAAAGTGCAATATGAGAGTGTAGTAGTGAATGTAGAGAGAGTTTGTTTTTGTGACACCTTATGCCCTTTGTATGGGGGGTGTACCTTAGTGCCCAAGTTTGGTTTGAGCAATACCATTATGACACGTGTCCTAGCCAATGAGCATGTTTATTCCCTAGTATATTATTTCTTATCCATTACAATCGGTCTAGTATGATATTTCATATCAGAAAGTATTTCGCATAATTATTGAGTATGCATCCAATTTGGATAAGCGTTGTAATATATGCGGCAAAATATAGCATAATTGTTAATTATGAGGCTTATTTGAATATATAATTATTATATCGCATATCATTTTGTTACTTTTCGGGTGAAAAAAAATTGATGGAATAGTGTGAAAGAAATAACATCTATATATATTGAAAGAGGATAGTCAATAAATCATTGTGGAATGTTCATAAAAAACAGAGTCAACCCATTTGACTTACCACTTATGGAAATTGTTTAAAAACCCCAAAATTATTATTTTTTTTTAAATCTAAAATTATGTTCTTTTTAAAAAATTCAAAATATTTGTTCATGTGTTTTTAATAATCCTAATTTCATTTTTTGTGCACGAAATTATTCACGCGTTTTGAAGAATCCTAATATTGTTACGCCTCTGAAATTTTTAATATACATCTTATCCCAAATTTGACAGTCAAAAAATTCTTTTTAATGCAACAAAATATTTGTTAACTTAATTTACGGCCTATCACATGTTTGCCAATTTTATTGTTAATTACGATCGATTAATTAATGGTAACAAACATAACTAACTATATCACGCACGTTTGAAATATATTCAATATCACATAACTCTATTTATCCGATTTTCTTTTTGGTTATTTTATAAAATCGTTCTATCTTTGATGTATGTTGCAAACTCGTTTTCTTTCCTAAAAAACTGCATCTCAACACATTAAAAAATATTAATACGACGCATAAAATAAAATATATCACATATAAAAAGTTTCAATATCATATGTCAGATAAATAGATTAAAAAATTAACTCAAACTCAAACGATTTGAGGCAAATTATTTTTAATGCCAAATGAGGCAAATTACTTTTAATGCCAAATTATGTTACCTAATTCAGAGTGACTTTGCAAAATTTAACTTGATGAATATAATATTTTTATGTAAAATATGTAAACTTTAAATATGTGTTTATGTATAATAATATATATACTTTTAAACATGATATTAACTTGAAGTGTTTATATACATATAGTTCTTATAACATAGTCTAAAAAATTGAGGTAATTTAACATTTTTCAATAATAATAGGTAATATTTAGAAAATATTTTTTCGTTGTAATATTGTTAACACATATAATATTTAGATACTTTTAAACATATTTAGATAAATTTTTTACACATTCTTTAGATTAAGGAGATATATCTATATAAAAATAGGTTAAATTAAAATATTTAGACATGTTTTCCTTATAAAATAGTTTAGAAAAAATTTAGGTGACTTCACACATATTTCAAGCATAATATAGAATATTTAGATGAGTTTTACATATGCGATATAAGATTTTTTAGGTACTTTTAATATCTATATGCATAAAAACGAAAAAGATTTATAAAATTTTTTTCGGCTGTATACTACATCTTGGATAAAAAATCTCATTTCATTTGTTATATAATATTTCGGTTTGTCTGTGTAGAATTGACAAAGATTTAAAAAAGAAATAATCTTATTTTGT